CAGAGCGTCTTGTGTATCCTCTGAATCAGGCTGGAGAAACTTTGGTGGCAGCTGCTGCCTGTGTTACCATTACATACAGACCAAGACTCTATTATAGGCAGACCTGGCACCCTGGATCAGGGATCTGTAGGGACGGACTTAAGGCGCAGATGTGGAGGTAGCAACATCGGAGACAAGGTAATGCTGTCACAGAACCAGGGCCTAGGCTGCTAGCATCTCCCCTAGAGCAGGGGATTCCAACCTTTTATGTGCCTCGGGTGCCCTTGGACTGGCTGAAGCTCAGGGACTCTTTCTTAGAATTTTTTTTTTTGAGTCGGAGTGTGGCTCTGTCACCAGGCCAGCGTGATCTTGGCTGACTGCAGCCTCTGCCTCCTGGGTTCAAGCGAGTTACCCTGCCTCAGCGTCCCGAGTAGCTGAGACTACAGGCACGCATCACCATGCCCAGCTAATTTTTGTATTTTCAGTAGAGACGGGGTTTCACCATGTTAGCCAGGATGGTGTCGGACTCCTGACCTCAAGTGATCTACCTTCCTTGGCCTTTCAAAATGCTGGGACTGCAAGCACGAGCCCACCTTGACATCCCAAACTGTTGGAATTACAGGCATGAGCCACCGTGGCCAGACAGAATATTTTTTAAATGCTTAAACAAAAACACTTAAATTATAAAGCAAACCAATGATAGTGAAATGCATTTTTTTTTTTTTTTTTTGTGATGGAGTTTTGCTCTTGTTGCCCAGGCTGGAGTACAATGGAGTGATCTCAGCTCATTGCCACCTTCATCTCCCGGGTTCAAGCGATTCTCCTGCCTCAGCATCCCGAGTAGTTGAGATTACAGGCGCACACCACCACACCCGGCTAATTTTTGTATTTTTAGTAGAGATGGGGTTTCACCATGCTGGCCAAGCTGGTCTCAAACTCCTGACTTCAAGTGATCCAACCCCCTCGGCCTCCCAAAATGCTGGGACTACAGGCATGAGACACTGTGCCCGGCCTGAAATGCAATTATTAACGTATAGAAAACATATCACATTAGGTTATAGCAATGTATGTGCCTCTTTATTTACAAGTGATACAGACAGTGGGGGATACAATAACTACTATAATTTTAATGCAGTGAGATGCATAAATGCTACTGTGAATATTTGTAGAAACTGTCATGTAATATTAAAATATCCATGATTGGTGACAAAGACATAGGTACTGTTTCTCTGGTGGTCTAGTGGCTAGAAAAAAAACCATAAAAGAAAAAAAAATGATAAAAGCCACTGGACACGGTGGCTCATTCCTGTAATCCCAACACTTTCGGAGGCCGAGGTGGGATGATGACCTGAGCCCAGGAGTTTGAAACCAGCCTGGACAATGTGGCAAGACTTTGTATTTACAAAAAATAAAACATTAGCTGGGTGTGGTCGTGTGCCTGTGGTCCCAGCTACTGGGGAGGCTGAGGTGGGAGGATTGCTTGAGCCTGGGAGGTCGAGGCTGCAATGCGCTGCGACTGCACTCCAGTCGAGTGACAGAATGAGACCCAATCTCAAAACAAACAAAAATCACACAGCACTGTTGATACTGCTGTTTTGCTGCTGACACTCATAGCGAAGAAAATGCTCCATTACAGCCATAGTTAAGATGTGACCTTTTCCCCCATTCAAATGGGGAAATGAACTCCTGAATTCTAGTTCATTCTGGTGTTCTGAAGTGTAGCTATTAGAGTTTTGGGGTCTCTCTGTGTATGGCGGCACTACGGTTTACGGGACTACATGAAGATCTGTTTATTGACCAATTGTTTTGTAATAATTCTTGACTTTTTCAGAGGATATGGATTATAGATTTGTAACGAATGCTGTACTCACTAGTTCATTTTCACTCCCTTGTATGAACACACCCAAAAGCAATGTATAAATATGTGTTTGTGGATTTTTTTGGGAATATATAAGGTAAGTTATCATAATTTACACATGTCCACAAATAAGATCGTGGCATGTGAAAATTATGATAAAAACAGGCCGGCCGCATTCTAGTTAAACAAACAAAACCCTGGCTACTATCAGATAGGCGGGAACTAGGATTCTCTTTAAAAATCGATTGTGAAAAATACTCCGTATAGCTTTAAGTGTATTAAATTACACATTCTATTTAAAACAAACAAAATAACCCTGAAAATAGAGGAATAAAAAGAATATTAGTGAGGCGGGGAATAGTGGCTCATGCCTTTAATCCCAGCATTTTGGGAGGCTGAAGCAGATGGATCGCTTGAGGCCAGGAGTTCGAGACCTGCCTGGCCAACATGGTGAACCCAGTCTCTACTAAAAATACAAAGATTAGCTGGGTGTGGTGGTGCATGCCTGTAATCCCAGCTACTCAGGCGGCTGAGGCGGGAGAATCATTTGAACCCAGGAGATGGAGGTTGCACTGAGCTGCGATCACACCGCTGCACTCCAGCCTGGGCGACAGAGCAAGATCTGTCTAAAAAAAAAAAAGACCAAAGAAAGAGAATATGAATGAATGGGTCAGTTCAGCTCATTGCCTTGCTGCTGTTTTCCCAAGTCCTGATTCATCTCTTCCTCAGTTAATTCCTAGAGTGTGTTCTTCAGGCAGCTTTCACAGATGATTCTTCTGGTCTGGGACTTAACCTTGGCAGGTATTGCTACTGCCAGTTCTCAAGCAGAGAGGGGGCATGATCACACATTTGTGTGCCACAGTGGGTAACTGGGGCCACTCACCATCTCTGGCCTATTGGTAGTTTTTTACATTTCAATTAAAGGCAGAAAGAAACCAATATCCACCCTTCTTGGGGAAGACTTCTAACTCTAACCCACCATGCCAAAGCTTATGTGATTTTTCTTTTCTCATGCTGTGGCCTTAGAAGAGATGGTTGATAACCGGCTCCTCCCAGTAATCCCCATAATAATACTTCTTTTTCTCTATGAATGCTTCAAGTCATCAGGAGTTGATAAGCCCATTAATTAACCTTTCTTCTTGGTGGAGACTGTAGATCACTCAGCAGGAGTTAAATATACTCTACCATCAGTAGGGTAGTGAATGAGCAAAAACAAATCCATCAGAGCCCAAGTTATGACACCCAGAAGACTTCAAATGAGCCTACACGACAGGAAACAGTTTGTGGTTTGCAGCAGCACCTGGACTGGTGTGCAGGATGCTGGCTTACTTTTTAAGTTGATGAGTTTCCTGGTAAAAGTAGGTAAGGAAAGGAGTCCCTAGGCTAAAGCTTTTTGAATGGAGATTTTGAAAATATTTTTTGTAAAAACATTTTCAAAAATAGAAAATTAACCTTTCGATGCAGAGAAAAGCATAAAAGCGTGCATAGCAGAAGGCAACTGTTTAAAAATCAATTCATGGCCAGGCACGGTGGCTCAAGCCTCTAATCCCAGCACTTTGGGAGGCTGAGGCAGGCGGATTGCTTGAGCCCCAAACTTTGAGACCAGCCTGGGTAACATGGGGAAGCCCTGTCTCTACCAAAATACAAAAATTAGCCGGTGGGGTGGGGTGTGCCTGTAGTCCCAGCTTCTCAGGAGGCTGAGGTGGGAGCTTCACCTGAGCCTGGAAGGTTGCGGCTATGGTGAGCCGTGATTGTGCCACTGCACGCCACTGGGACAACAGAGTGAGACCCTGTCTCGAAATAAATAAATAAATAAAATAAATTAAAAAATTAACAACAAAAAAAGACCACTTTCTGAGTGGAATATATACTGTTTCAATGTATACATCTATTTGAAGATTTTAAGGGTTTGCAAATTTACTGTAAAGGGAGAGGGGTACTCCTTGTATTTGGGAGTACATCTCTCCAAATATACCATAAAACACCGGTTAACTGTATATTTAGAGAGGTGTAGTCCCAGATAAAGGTCAGGGATGGGAAGGACACTTCAGAATTGCCAAGTGAAATTATTCTTGGGATGGACAGCTTTTGAGTGGGAGGCTTTTGAGTTACTAAACAGTGTTTCGGGACAAATTGTGCATAAAGATGCATTATGGGCTGAGCGGTGGCTGCGTAGGGTCACTGGAGGGTTTGGGACAAGAGGACGCAGGAAAGATCCCGCAGGATGTGCCTGGGGGCATCTACGATATTTATGGTGGCTGTTTTACTTACTGCCTAGAGGACAATCACTGCTTGTTTCTTCCTGAATCCTTGGTTTTGTTTTAACTTTTACACAATTTTATATTATTGTAGGAAAAACTGGAAAACAAAGAAGGGTCAGGAAAACCCAGGCGGGGGAACAGGCCACAGAACATTCTCTACTACGGATTAAGGGTTGGGCAAAAGGAAAAACATTTTCCAAACACCTGACCTTTAAGAGCTACTTTTCCTAGCCCTGTGGGCCTTAGTGAGTTTAATGGCCATTGAGATTCATTCCTTGGTGGAAGAAACGAGCATAAACCCATTTGTTTTAGGTAAGAGATAGCAACTTCACTGGTGCTGGAAAATTGTTCTGGATAGCTCGGCACGGTGGCTCATGCCTGTAATCCTAGCACTTTGGGAGGACGAGGCAGGTGGATTGCCTGAGCTCAGGAGTTCGAGACCAGCCTGGGCAACATGGTGAAACCCTGTCTCTACTAAAATACCAAAAATTAGCTGGGCATGGCAGCATGCGCCTGTAATCTTAGTTACTCGGGAGGCTGAGACAGGAGAATTGCATGAACCTGGGAGGCAGAGGTTGCAGTGAGCCAAGATTGTCCATTGCACTTCAGCCTAGGTAACAGAGTGAGACTCCATCTAAAAAAAAAAAAAAAGAAAGAAAATAGTTCTGGATACACAGTGCACTTCATTCCAAGAGATCTTACAAGACATCCCTGACAGTCAGAAGATTTCTCGATGGACCAGATATTTCTCTATGTGTTATTGCTTTTCTAGTCACGTTTAAAAAGCTTGGTTGCGTTCACAGTTTTCTAGGAAACTGGTGTCAGGTAACACTTTTCAGCTGCTTCTCATGAGCAGTTACCTCTAGAGTGCAGAGTTTTATCTGGCACTGAAAAGTTGCTGGTTGGTTTTCTAGATCCATGTTTATTTTCAGTTCAAAGACAAAGTGGAAAACTTGAGAGTGGAAAATGTTACCTTTTAGTTCACACTCTTGTCATCCCTTAGTCCCCATAAAGTAAACATTCTAAAGTGTAAGCAGTAGAAATAATGTAAACTCTAATAGAAACAGAAATGTCTTAGTTTCTTTCTGACTTGGTGGAGGTCCTTTTCCTGAACACTATATTTCTCTGTGAAGAGAATTCATCTTGAATGAAGAAGAAATCCTTGGCTGATTTCACCATGTCTCCAACATTGCGTAACAGGCATTTTTCAAAGTCAGTTTCTTCTCCAACTGCAGCAAAAAGGCAAAGAATAGCCTGTTTCAGGAGCCTGAAAAATAGAAAAAGAACCATGTTTGAGTAGTTTAAGAATAGCTTTCCCCTCTGGTGTTAAACCGTTAACATGATATAGCTCTAAAGTTTGAGGCCAAAAGAAAATGTAAAAACAGAGCGATGATTCCATTCACTAGATAAGGCTGGGATCTGTGTTTGGAATATTTTACTTAGCAGACAGGGAGAATCAGAGTCTGCACCACTCTTTAAGAGTAGGCACAGCTATGCCAGCCGGCATTCTGAACTTCCCAAGAGATTTACTTGGGGATACTGGCAGAATTCCCAGAACTTCCAAGTTTGAGATCTATAGTTTGCAGCATCCTGTGGAATGAGAATGTTTAGGATTTTTTTTTTTTTTGGTTTAGGATTTTAAAAATAGTTTTTAAATTTTTTATTTATTAACTTTTGAGATAGAGTCTCACTCTGTCGCCAGGCTAGAGTGCAGTGGGGCAATCTCAGCTCACTGCAACCTCCGTCTCCCAGGTTCAAGCGATTCTCCTGCCTTAGCCTCCCGAGTAGCTGGGACTACAGGCGTGAGCCACCATACCCGGCTAATTTTTGTCTTTTTAGTACAGACGGGTTTCACCATATTGGCCAGGATGGTCTCCATCTCTTGACCTCGTGATCCGGCCACCCCAGCCCGCCAAAGTGCTGGGATTACAGGCTTGAGCCACCTCGCCTGGCTACTATTTTTTTATTTTTTGAGACAGAGTCTCACTTTGTCACCCAGGCTGGAGTGTAGTGGTGAGATCTCAGCTCACTGCAACCTCTGTCTCCTTGGTTCAAGCAATCCTCCCACTTCAGCCTCCCAAGTAGCTGGGATTAAAAGTGTGCACCACTATGCCCGGCTAATTTTTGTATTTTTAGTAGAGATGAGGTTTCACCATGTTGGCCAGGCTGGTCTTGAACTCCTGGGCTCAAGTGATCCTCCCAAAGTGCTGGGATTACAGGTATGAACCACCACACCCAGCCTTGTTTAGGATTTTAGATAAGGAATCTTGTCACCTTGGATTTCTGTTTTTTATAGAGTAGGCACAGAAATCAAGGTTTGAAAATGCATCTAGGGCAATATGGAAGTTCATGGTCCTGGGACTTATTATGAAAGCTTTGCTACTTTCTCTCAAAGGCTATTAATATTCGTTACCATTCTTCAATCCTGTAATTTCTTAGAAATAAATCAAACTACATTAAAAAACAAAGAAACAAAACACTTAAGTCCCAGAAAAAAATGTGTTCACCCCTCTAAAATGTAAATGCAATACGTTGCCTTTAATCAGAATTTAGACATGGAAGGGCTTATCTTTTAGGCCATGAAAGTGAAAACTGCTCAAATCCTGCGAGTTGTCCTCCCACAGAAAACTGAGAGGTTTGGAGTCAGAGAGGATGCTTGATTGGTTTCTAGACAGAAGATAGTGATAGAGAGGAAACGAGAAACTTCAAATACTCCCCAAACATCTGATTCAAGTCAGGGGAATAAACAGAAAACAGAAGTATTATAGGCACAATAAAGATGAACAAAAAGAAAGTATTTCAGAGACATGGCCAGCATCACTGGTGTCCCCCGACCTGAGGGTCAATGACGCTTGAGACAGGAGGGATGCTAGGGAGGGGGACTCAGTGGACTAGAGCTAACCCTTGGCAAGGCCAGGCCAGGCTGGACAAGGCCTTCCCTGCTCCAGAGACGTAGTGGAAGACCCTTGATTAGCCATATTACGTTTGTATCCTATATTTTGTGTCTAAAGGGGCTTAGAGTTTGTGGTCCTACTTTTTTTTTTTTTTTTTTTTTGAGATAGAGTCTTGCTCTATCACCCAGGCTGGAGTGCAGTGGCATGATCTCAGCTCACTGCAAACTCCGCCTCCCGGGTTCAAGTGATTCTTGGGCTTTGGCCTCGCAAGTAGCTGGGATTATAGGCACTTGCCACCACGCCTGGCTAATTTTTGTATTTTTAGTGGGGACGGGGTTTCACCATGCTGGCCAGGCTGGTTTTGAACTCCTGACCTCAGGTGATCCTCCCACCTTGGCCTCCCAAAGTGCTGGGATTACAGATGTGAGCCACTGTGCCTGGCCTGTGGTCCCACATTTTGAAGAAAATGGAAGGATTGGCAAAGTATAGAAAGTCTCATTACAGATGAAAACAATCAGGGATGCAATAGCTAAGGTAAGAATGTAAAAACAAATCTTGTTTAGTGCTTATGCATTCAAATAAGCAATTTCAGAACTTAGGGGGAAAATATTTTGGAAGATACAATATACAAAACATTTTATTTTGGTATTGGAATAAGAAATCAAAATATGTTCAGAAAAAGATTATTTGAAGGGGAATTAAGAATTTCATAATTGTAACCTAAGCTTTAAAACATTCCATTTTAGTTAGATAGGAGATTTAATTTAGCAACATAGGAGAGGTTTAATTATCACTATCTTTTAGATGTCAATGAGGATTATTTAAATATAATAGCTTGAGCTTCCATCCTGCTTGGCCCCTGCCTGGAAGCGGAAAGGAAGCGGGCACTCCTTGGCTGGCTCAGGGTGATGAGTCCTTGGAACACAAGGGTGATGAGCAATTTTTGAGTTGCTCTGTGAAAAGATAAAGTTTCAAGACTGAAACCAAAAAGCTCAGATGCTCTCCCAGGGCCCTTTGTAACCCTGTGGTTTGTGACTTGGCACTGAATAAATCACATTCTTAGAAGGGCTGGCATGCAGCAATGCTACTCAAGATTAATTTACGGTTATTAAATATCATTGAAAATTTCTGCCCTTTTTTCCCCTTATACTGATATGTTATATATATTTTTGAGACCAAGTCTTTCTCTGCCACCCAGGCTGGCATGATCTCGGCTCACTGCAGCCTCTGCCTCCCAGGTTCAAGCAATTCTCCTGCCTCAGTCTCCTGAGTGGCTGGGATTACAGGTGCACAACACCATGCCTAGCTAATTTTTGCGTTTTTGGTAGAGACGGGGTTTTGCCATGTTCCCCAGGTTGGTCTTGAACTCCCAGGTTCAAGTGATCCATTCACCTCAGCCTCCCAAAGTGCTGGGATTACAGAATGAGCCACTGCACCCGGCCTAAAATTTTATATTCTTATGGGGTAAATGTGAGTATTTATTACATGCATAGAATGTGTAGTGATCAAATCAGGGTATCTGGGGTGTCCATTATCTTAAGTATTTATCATTACTGTATATTGGTATCATTTCAAGTCCTCTCTTCCTATTGCTTTGAAATATACAAAATATTGTTGCTGAGTATAGTCATCCTAGTCTGCTATCAAGCATTAGAGCTTATTTCTTCTCACTGTATGTTTGTACCCATTACCAACCTCCCTTCATATCCTCCTCCCAGCCACCCATCCTTCCCAGCCTCTGGTGTCTACCATTTATTCTGTCTATGAGGCTAAGTTCTTTAGCTTCCACAATGAGAGTGATAATACGCAGTATTTGTCTTTCTGTGCCCAGCTTATTTCACATAACATAATAACCCCTATTTCCATCCATGCTGCTGTAAATGACATTATTTCATTCTTTTTAATGGGTAAATAGTATTCCACTATCTATACACACCACATTTTCTTTAGCCACTTTTCTGTTGATGGCTTAAAGTCAATTTAGGAAAGAAACTCATTTCTACCCTAAACTTATTTCTACGTGTGTAATTCAAGAAAAAGCAATTCTTTTATAAGGAACAAATATTTATAGCAGGACTGGAGTGAATCTGATTCCATACTCAACATAACTTTGCACAGCAGAATAACGAAGTAAGGGAGTCCCTGAATTCTTCAGGAAATTTGCCAGACTTTCTTGTGTGTTCATTTGAATGACTCTTGCCAAAGCCCGGAAATATGATAAGTTTCGGAATGAGAAAACAGAATGGGGGGAAAAAATCAAACCCTTAGTTCCAATAATCTTTAAACAAAAAACTGAACAGCTGGATCGATTTCACTGGGACAAATAACTTATTTTAATTAGTTCTATTTAGTGACATTCAAAAGAATGAATCATGCCCTTATTCTAACAATAGTGAAAGCATTACAGATAGGTCTTGGGGAGAGGCAGCAAGGAGAGCTCAAATTCTGGTGCTGTTTTGGCATATCACATTCACCTTTGGCTTCACACAGTTTCCTAGGAGTTGAGATAGGCTAGAAAGGTGAGGAAGGGAAGGACAGGGAGTTTCATCAACTAAGCACCATCTTCTTCCTGAGTGGGACGCATCTCCAACACGTTCCTGGAGGAATAATGAGTGTGCTGCTCAGTCCTGGGTATGCCGACCATCCACGGTGTGATCCCCGAGGGAGCAAAGTCAGCAAACCAGACATTTCCTTTCAGATGCCCACGTTTGTCCAAGCTGACTGTCGCCTAAGCTTTAACAGTTTTATTTTATGCGTTTTGAATAGCCACGGACCTCTGATTATTAGTAGACGTGATTCCTGATGGCTATGGTGAGGGGCACAGGAAAGAGACAATGCTTGCTGGCTCATTACTGAGGAACCACTGAGACGGAAGGTTTGCTTTGTAGAGTGGTTTTATTTAGGACACTGGATCTGTTTTTGATTGTTCAAGCAGGGTCAAATGATGGGTTTTGAACCACTGCCCACCAAGCCTAGAACAGTATTTAGCAATTCACAAAGAAGAAAGAGGCCTTGGATCTCGGGGTGGGGTGGGCAGGGGGGTGGAAATGCCATTCCATTAGAGAATTAGGAAAGAGCTAGCTCTACACTCCCTGGACTAAAATGAATTATGACAACGTCATAGCTTTTAATACCCAAATAATTATCTTTACTTATTAAAAAAAATTACCCTATTATCCTCAAATACCTGTCTGTTCAAATAGCTGATATCATCTTTCAGAATGGGTCAAAGTTCATTTTGCCTGTGACGGAAATGAAAAGGGCATCCTTTGGCTTGGGGCTTAAAGGTTGGGGTGATACTGAGAGTCAACAGATCTGAGCTGAGTCTTGGCTTTTGTCGTTATTAGCTGTGCCACTTGAGCAGGTTGTCAACCTCTCTGGGCAGAGTTCTTGCAGCTCTGAAACAAAAATACTACCCACCTCCCTGGGTTGATGCCAGCACGACACGTGATGGGGATGGCCATGTGCCAGCTATGAAATGAGGGGCAGTGCCACAGGGTGGCAAGGCAGCTCTGTAGGCCTGCAGACCAGGGCTACCCCTCAGTGACCACAGGGTAGGCTTGGTCCTCTTGAAGCCTTTGTGGCCTTATGGGACAACACTTGCCTCCAGAGGTACTGTGACCACCCAGGGCAAAATGCTAAGCAAGGTGCCCGATACATTGCAAGTAATTACCACGGGCCTGTGTCCTGCCCTTCAGGCCCCGTATATAAGATCTGGAGGAGGCTGGGCATGGTGGCTCATGCCTGTAATCCCAGCACTTTGGGAGGCCAAAGTGGGCAGATCAGGAGGTCAGGTGTTTGAGACCAGCTTGGCCAACACAGCGAAACCCTGTCGCTACTAAAAATACAAACATTAGCTGGGCATGGTGGCATGTGCCTGTAGTTCCAGCTACTTGGGAGGCTTAGGCAGGAGAATCGCTTGAACCCAGGAGGTGGAGGTTGTGGTGAGTGAGGTTGTGGTAAGCTGAGATTGTGCCACTGCACTACAGCCTGGGCAACAGAGTGGGACTCCCTATCAAAAAAAAAAAAAAAAAAAAGAAAAGAAAAAAAAAAGATCTGGAGGAATTCTTGTTAGGGAGCACAAACACCTCAGGTAATAAAGGATCTAAGGGTCTGCATTAATAAATCTAAGGATGTGTCCCTTAGCATTTCCTGAATCTTAACTACAATAATTAAGGTATAATTGTGCTTATATGACCTACTTGGACAGCATGTGAAAACCGAACAAAAAGCTGGAAAAATACTGTCCAAGAGAGATGGGAGAATTGAACACACTTATTCTGGAGAAAAATGACAAATGGCAGAAATGTAACATAATAGGTTCCCGACATGAAAAGAGAGATTAGTTGGGACGGGGTTCAGTGTTCAGCTTAAGAGGAATGATATTGCTATTTCCCCATGGTCTCACTGGGAAATCCAAGACATTTGCAACACACAAGCTCACACCAAAAGAGGAAACAACATTTTATCAATGCTTGAGCTTACAAATTTGTTAAATTAGTCTCCCTTCATTTTCTAGAGTTTTCTTTTTACAGAAATGACAAAGATCAAAGATGCAGTATGGCTCAGACTTAACATAGCTTCTGCTCCTCAACAAAAAACACATGCAACCACCACGCAAACATCCACAACCCGAAACAAACAATTTCACACCTTGTTTTAATGCAATTTTATTTATGGGTCCCTTATCTTTCTTATCATAGCCTAGATCTTTAGTGTTTTAACAACAAAGGTCTAACAAAAAAACTTGGCCTGACGTGGTAGCTCGCGCCTGTAATCCCAGCACTTGTGAGGCAGAGGTGGGCGGATCACTTGACTCACTTTACATCAGGAGTTTGAGACCAGCCTGGCCAACATGGTGAAACCTCATCTCTATTAAAATACAAAAATTAGTGGGGCACCATGGCACACACCTGGGATCCCAGCTACTCGGGAGGATGAAGCAAGAGAATCACTTGCACCTGGGAAGTGGACGTTGCAGTGAGATGAGATCACTGCATTCCAGCCTGGAGACAGAACAAGACTCTGTCTCAAAATAAAAACAAAACAAACAAACAAACAACAACAACAACAACAAACTCAAGTGGATTACTAGTAGTGAAACAAATGCAAATGAGAATCCCGGATGTCTGGCTTACAGCCATAACTCAGAGGTAGTTGGAAAGGAGGGTTTTTAGGTCACGGAAGCTCATCTGCAAATGCCCAGAATACGCTGGCAAGAGGGAGAGGTTCTGGGCTCAGGAGCAGGAGTCAGTGGGGAGAAGGAGGTGGGGTGCTTGCAGAGAAGGAATGTGTCTTCAGAATATGGTGAGGACATGTTAGATCCCTGGGGTAGGAGAAGCAGCCCTGAGCCTTTCAAACTTCTGATCAGGAGCTGTCCCCCAGGGAAGAGGGTTAGGAATGTCATCTCTGGCAGAAGCCAGCAGGTGCGGCTGCAGTGCTGTGGGGTGGGCATAAATAAGACCGAGAATCCCCAGGTCTGGGCTGCCTAAGACAGCTCAAAGTCAAAGCCCAACCCGAAACTGCAGATCCCAAGTCATTCTGTGGCCTGCTTTCTGCTGACCTGTCCTTCCTGGGACCCACAGAGCCCTCTAGTTAAATGGTCTGTCCCATTGCTATGTGTCTGTCCAGGGACATGGGAGCCAAACACACATGTCGTGCCACAGTCGAGTGTTGTGGGTTGAACTGTGTCTCCTAAAAGAGATGCTGGAGACCTAACCCTGAGCGCCTGTGACAATGATCTTACTTAGAAGGAGGTTCTTTGCAGAGTAATCAAGTTAAGACGAGGTTCTTAGGGTGGGCTCTAAGCCAAGATGACTGGGGTCCTTCTAAGAGGTGAACACCATGTGAAGACAGAGACAGGGAGAATGTGGTGGGATCACAGAGGCTGAGACAGTGGGAACGCCAAGGAGCGACAGCCACCACCAGATGCTAGGAAGAGGCCAGCAAGGATTCCATGCATTGTCTCAGGGTGTGCATCCTGGCTGACACCTTGACTTTGACTTCCAGCCTCCAGAACTGTGTCAAATGTTCCATTGTTTTAAGCCACCCAGTTTGTGATACTTTGTGATGGCAGCCCTAGGAAACGAATATACCAAGATTTCTCTTTCACGTGATTCTAGCTCTGTACCAAGAGTTACGTAGTAGGAAGTTACTCTTTTAAAATTATAACAGATGCTGGTTTTAATCCTGGAATAGAATAATGAGTTTACAGAGTTCTGTTATGGTCAGAGATGCTCTAAACATATCTATATTCAGGGATGATATAATTTAACTTTCACTGGACGGAGCCCAGGTGCACTAAGGGCTGTGTACTGAGCATCTAACTCGCATCCACAGCCAGGAGTGAACTCCAGTCATGGAAAGTCATTTGGTAGGAATTTGAGTAATCAACGAAGGAAATGATTGATCACACCACTTCTGTAGTAAGTATCAGAAAAACAAATATGACAAAAAACGGATTTGAACTAGAAAAAAGGAAGAAAAAGTTGAAGCACATCAACCTACCTGCATCAGGTCCTGTGAGAGCCTTGTCCACTTAGAACAAGCCTTTCACTTGTTCTGTTTCGGTATCAAGATCTATGTCATAAAAGCAGGGACGAGTGGGCAGTCCCGGCATGGTGCTCATCTGGGGGAGAAAACCAAGTGTTAAAGATCAGCAAGCGCTATAAAGTGGCCACATGAAACCCTGCAGGTCTGAGGACGTGAATTCACTCTATCATTCAATACCGCCTCACAGAATTTCAGGTTTTATATGCACATATCTCCTTAAATTTGGCATCTGCTATTTCAATTTTTGTTTAAGGAAATGAAATAGAAAAGGTAAATATCAACTTCCTGAAAATTGAGACCATTTACTTTCCCTGTGGCCCCACAACGCACCGGAACTACAAAGCAGTGATCTTCCAAACCTTTTCTTCTCAATGAAATCTTCACTGAGCCCCAAGAAAAGCCTGTCAGGTTGAAGGGGGAAGCCGGTGTGGGCAGGGTGAATAATGTCCTCCTTCTCACCCTCAAGGCACAGTTTTGTAAAACCTACAGCTCCTGGCGCACAGCTGGAAAACTGCTGTTCAGGTGCCAGTCATCAGCCCGGTCTCCATCAGTAACAGTAACTGACACGGACTTGAGAACGTGCTTTGTGATGGGTGCTGCGCTAGGTGCTTCCCTCATTGTATTCTCTCCATGATGCAGGAGGTAGGAACTTTTATTATTTCTATTTTACAAGAGAAGAAACTGAGGTTTGGAGAGGCAAAATCACTTGTCCCAGGTCACACCAGTAATAAATTGCAAAATCAGAAATTTTGACCTTAGGCCTATAATCTCAAATTACCCATTTCACCACTACCACACCGCCACAGCCACGACCACTACTGCTTTTGTGACACTCGATGGACAGTCTAAGGGTTTCACGGAAATAATCTCATTGAGTTTCCCAGCACCGTAATGAGGCAGGTACTAATTTTAGCCTTACTTTACAGATGAGGACAGAGGACATTGAGGCATGAAGCTGTGAGCTCTAGGACACATGGCTAGTTAGTGGCGGGGACAGGATGAAAGCTGGTTCTTTACTGCTTTGCCACATCTAGATGAAAGGTCTTCAAAGCGCACACTCTGCCCTCCTGCATCAGAAGCCCCTTGTGTGCTGCGGCTTCCGACGCTTGTCCCTTTGACTGATCCCCAGGCCTTCAAACACTGCTCCAGGGTCCAGATTCTGGGGCCCCTGGATGAACCATTCCTTTTCCATTTCAGCACTTCCTACTGTGCTTTAATAGTGAGTGTTTCATACAAACGATGCCCGTGGAGCAATGCTGCAGCTGTCGTCTGGAGGAGACACTTGGGTTCTGCCGTGCCTGCTCTCCCAAGGGCTCAGGCCACGGTGCAGAACCTCCACATGCCCTGGCCGAGAACGCCTTGCATGAGATGCAGCTGTGAGGTGCTCGCACCTGATGACAACCAGGGTTTGCTGGCTTCTTTCCCCATGGCAAAAAGTTCTCAGGGAGGCCAGGTGCAGTAGCTCACGGCTGTAATCCCAGCACTATGGGAGGCCGAGGTGGGTGGATCATGAGGTCAAGAGATCGAGACCATCCTGGCCAACATGATGAAACCCTGTCTCTACCAAAAATACAAAAATTAGCTGGGCGTCGTGGTGGGCGCCTGGAATCCCAGCTACTCGGGAGGCTGAGGCAGGAGAATTGCTTGAATCTGGGAGGCGGAGGTTGCAGTAAACCAATATCACACCACTGCACTCTGGACTGGTGAAAGAGCAAGATTCTGGAGAATAGAACTCAACTCTCACCCTCCACTGCCTTCCCCTCTTCACCAGCCTCTCCTCTCCATGTGGTGTTTAGAGATTCCTGTTACTCAAATGGGGCCTGTGCGCGGGCATTACCTGAGAGCTTGTTAGACACTCAAGAGTTTCAGAGCCCACCCCGGATCTGCTGCATTCGATTCTGCAACTATAGCAAGTCCCCAGGGGGTTCTGATGCGAACTGCACAACGTGGCCTCAGCGTCCGGTGGCTCTAGCCGCCCTTCCTCACTTCGCCCAGCCCGTCGTCACAGGGAAAAGGAGATTGGGGGTGGAGAGAGGGAGAGGAGGAATGGTAAGGGGGCAGGGGAGAGCAAGGCCTGTTTAACCCCTGCAGGTGCAGCAGGTGGGGAGCAAATCTGTGCACCTGCGGGCCTCATCAACATCCCCTTCCCTGCCCACCTGGGCCCACTGAGAGTGGGAGCGGGGAGGCTGGGGGAACGAATAAAACATTGTGATGGATGATGGCTGGCTCCTGTCTTGCTAATTGCACAGGACTGCACTCCGGGTATACAGTGGGCTAAAAAGCCTTTTGCAGCTGCCTGGAATACAGCTGCTATTCATGACACACTGATGGGAAAATCCATTCTGGATTCCAAACAATGAACTACAACCACACTTGGCACAAGACCTGCTTGTAGGTGGGGACTGGTTGTATTTTAAAACTTTAGGTATGAAGAAGGCTCCCATAGCCTCTGAAGTTAAGGTTCCCAGCAGGAGGGTAACGTTTTTCTCGGGTTAATACAGTGGCTGCCTATAATGGAGGACACCCCAGAAAGGAAACCACATTTACTGTTCTATTGCTGGAAACATCAAACACAGGGTCATTGGTGGATACATATTTTTTCCCAGTTGCCTAGGTTATAAGCAGGTAATTTTCCTGCCTAACTGCATTTTGAGATGGCATTTGAAGGCAATTTTTTTTTTTTTTTTTTTAAAGACAGGGTTTTACCATGTTGGTCAGGCTGGTCTTGAACTCCCGACTTCAGGTGATCCTGCCGCTTTGGCTTCCAAAGTGCTTGGATTACAGGCATGAGCCACCACGCCTGGCCTGAAGGCATCTTATGGCATTTATAGAAGGCTTTTTTTTTTTTGAGGCAGAGTCTCACTGTCACTCAGGCTGCAGTGCAGTGGCATGACCTCGGCTCACTGCAACCACCGCTTCCCAGGTTCAAGCGATTCTCCTGCCTCAGCCTCTGGAATTACAGGCGTGCACCAACATGCCTGGCTAATTTTTTGTATTTTCGGTAGAGACAGGGTTTTACCATGTTGGCCAGGCTGGTCTCAAACTGCTGACCTCAAGTGATTCACCCGCCTCAGCCTCCCAAAGTGCTGGGATTACAGGTATGAGCCACTGCACCCGGCCATAGAAGATGCCTCTATAATCTGTGTGAATTGGGTTTTCTTGTTTGTAAACATAGTGTGTATAAACAAGCACGCAGTAAACTATGTTAAACGCATAAATGCGCAAAACACTGTGATGGATGATGACTGGCTCCTGTCTTGCTAATTGCATGGGGCTGCACTTCAGGTATATAATGGGCTAAGATAGTGCCCATTGCATTTGGAAAAGAACAAGCATTTTATAGTTTAAGAGAAAGAAATGAATAATCATATTCAGTCACAGTGATGCTGCCCCACCCCCTGCCCCTGAAATGAACTCTCTAGGTCAAAGTCATCTTCCCGGTAAGGATGTCACTGGACTCTACAGCAGCTGCTGCTTCTGAGAGTGTAACAGGAGTCACACCAAGGGCAGAATTTAGTATAGATGAGGCAGTGTAAATTTAAATCTCTACTCAAGGTAACAAACCCAAGAAGAACCCTGAAGGTAGTGTATTTGGGCCCATCTAACCAAAGCTACCAATGGAAGATTCTACCACACATAACACACTTTACTGCATGCTTGTTTATACACACTTTTACAAGCAAGAAAACCCAATTCGCCACCTTTAACTTTCAGCTGATGAAAAGCCAAGGCAGTGCAGGATTTGTGCAGTTCCTGGAGTTGTATTTGCTAGCTGCAGTGGATCAGAACATGAATCTTCGAGTCACTCTGATTCTGTCACAAAACCAGGATCTAAAACTGACCAGGCTGGGTGCAGTGGCTCATGCCTGTAATCCCAGCATTTTGCGAGGCTGAGGTGGGCATATCACTTGAGGTCAGGAGTTTGAGACCAGCCTGGCCAACAAGGCGAAACCCTGTCTCTACTAAAAACACACACACATAAATTAGCTGGGCATGGTAATGAGCACCTGTATTCCTAGCTACTTGGGAGGCTGAGGCAGGAGAATCATTTGAACCCAGGAGGCAGAGACTGTGGTGAGCCGAGATGGCGTTACTGCACTCCAGCCTGGGCAACAGAGCAAGACTCTGTCTTAAAAAAGAATCAAACAAACAAACAAAAACTGGCCAAAATATTAAATGCCAGGAAGTGTGAAATGTCTTTCCTCTGTTTTCAACTTTTCTTTCTTTCAAATGGGACAGAAATGAGTTCAATCAGAAGACTCCCATGACCCCTTGCAGTGATGCAATCATCTCTTTCCAAACGTGCAGTTACTTGAGATAAGCGACAACAGACGAGAAACCACAAAGAGTCTGCAGACCCAAGAGACTCCCTGACCTGTGGAGACACAGCCACCTCCAATAAAACTTCTCCTATTGAGCAAGCATAATATGGAATTATGTTAGCAAGACCTTATGCATTCCCACAAATTTTCTCCCTGTAAAAAAACTGTTAGCAAAGGATTGTCACCCCCAGACAAGAGTCAATACAGCACTGCAGGGAACAAGGAGAGCAGACAGCCCTTGGGAGCTGACCTCTGGCCATGTGCCTGGGGTCAGTGGAGATCTATGTTGACTTTATCTGTGTACCCTTTTAAGGAGGCCTCCTGCTTAAAATAACTAAAGAGCCACTAAATTGTACTTACTTGTAATGCTGCATTAATGGATTCTTCTACAAAGGCTGAAATACATGGGCTTTTGCCCTTCATGACCCTAATTTTAACTACAATGAATCTTCTGAAACTTTACCGATTTCGGGTTAACTCCATTTTGAAGAAAGAATGAGTTCTATCAGTAGCCTTTAATGAGCATTAGTTAAAAACCAGTACAGAGAGAATAGTCATATATTTAAAATTAGTCATTAAGAAATAAAAGAATATCCTTTGTATAAGTTGAAAAATTATTAAAGATTCTGTTTCATAAAGTGATAGAATCATAATTTCTAACCATAATTTTCTTAACCAAAATATCATTGTACTGAGTTCTGTTGTGTTTCTAAAATAATTTATTTTCTAATTTCTCCTGAAATCTATCTTTTCT